GCAGCCTCTGCCCTCCTGGCTGCTCACTGGGTCTCTGTGACTCCGGCAGTGTGACTGGGGAATGAATTACGGCCACTGGATTTTCCATGCCTTAGTATAGGCATGGCCCCAGCCTCGGCCCCCGCGTGATGGAGCGAGTGAGCCCTGTGTTTCTGGCTCGCTGTGAGATGCAGTTGGAGGCTCTCGGAGAGTGCAAGTCAGGCAAGAAACTGGTGGGGATTTTTTTTCTTTTTTCTTTCTTTTTAAACCAAAAAAAAAAGAAAAAAAAAACCCGCCCTCCCACCACCACAAGATGTTTCTGTCTAACGGCTCCGTTCCCTCTTCGCTAAATACAAATTATGGCTCTGACAGCCGGAGGCATTTATCTCCAGCTGAATGCCAATTGCTTTCAGGAACAAAATGTTTGAAGTTCCTTTAAGGTGAAGGCGGCAGCGTGGTCCCTGGCGCTGCTTTCAGCCTCCAAAAACCTGCTGTCATCACCCCAACTCCCATCCCAGGTCCCTGGCTGGGAGAGGAGGGGACGCACACAGGCTGCTGGCTACATATAGGCATAGCTCAGCCCTCCTGGCCCACCCAGGGACAGGGGGAGGACACGATCCCGGCCTGACGTGAGCAGTGGCGTGGCCCTTATAATGCCATGCCCTGTTTCAAGCTCTCCCTCTTCCCTTCAGCCTCAGAGATGAGTGTCCCTGTCCCTGCCTTAGGGCTCAGTGGGTTACAGCCAGAGCCAGGACACATCTTGGCGCCGGGGCTCTGACCTCCATTGGGAAGCGTGGACTTGAGCCGGCTGTGGTGCTGCTGGCCGGTGGGGCGCAGGGAGCACCGGCTCCGCGATAAGTGCGTGTGGGTCCCATCCCCAGCCGAGCCCAGCGCAGTGCTCACCTTACCCAGGGCTGTCTTTGTGCTTTCAGGAATAAGTACTCGGCTCCCGGCAGCGTCGCCGTCATGGGGAAGGACTATTACAAGATCCTGGGCATCCAGACTGGTGCCAATGAGGATGAAATCAAGAAAGCCTATCGGAAAATGGCTCTCAAGTATCACCCCGATAAGAATAAAGACCCCAACGCCGAGGAGAAGTTCAAGGAGATTGCAGAGGCTTACGATGTCCTGAGTGACCCCAAGAAGCGAGCTGTCTACGACCAGTATGGGGAGGAAGGTAAGGGGACAAGCACTGCCTGCTTGGAGGCATGGGTGGTGGTGGTCTAGATTGGGTTTTGTAGGCAAGGGAGGCTTTTTTCACACAGAGGGTTCATGCCTGCACCTGAAATGGGGCTGGTAGCTTGGAACTGGGGATAGTGAAGGCTCCACAGGTGCCAGGAATCCGCTCTCATCCTGTTCCTCTCCGGGTCACCCTGCTTTTCCACCCTGCTTCCTGGGATGGCAGGGCTCTCTCTGCCCTTTGCCCCAAAACCTAGCTGAGACAGTGGAATTGGAAAGAGCTCACCTCACCTCCTGGATCATACCTGGTTAATTCATTAGCAGCCCTTTAATTGACCTAAATATCCCAGTGGAGAAGTATTGGTTTTGCCCACATTCTCCACGCGTTTGGGCACTTGTCCCGCAGTCCTCCCTGGTACAGGCTGACCTACAGGATTCAAAGCTTTTCCCAATTTAAGTAACAGGTCCTTGTTTTGAAACCAAGTGGCTGCTGTTGTCTGGTGGTTGGCACAGAGGAGGAGGAGGAGGAGAAGAGCCGCTCCACCACAGGCGGCCTTATTAGTCGAAGATGGAAGAGCGCAACCCCATTCGAGGAGAGCACCGAATAGCATCTGCATTAATCAGCCCAGGACTTGGGTGCTTAAAAGAGCAGGAGGTCTGGCAGGAACAGGCTGCTGGGGGGAAGAGGCAGCCCTGTCAACAGGCAGGTGCATCCTCTTAATGAGCCACCAGTAGAATTAACCAGCAGCGGGTTAATTTTGACCTGTTAGTTATGTCAGGGCTATGATGGATGCACCGGGCGCAGTGATCTGCCACCCTGTAAGACGAGAAGAGGCTGCCTCAAGTGGGAAACCAGCCTTTCCCCAGAGGCAAGGCCGAGGAAATCGGACCCAGCTCAGGCTGGCGTCACGGGATTAAAGGTGAAACCTCCTGGCTGTACAGTCTGTTAGGGGACAGGGGCTCCCTGGGGATTCGGTGAAATGCCCATCACCTGAAGACACCTAAAATAAAGAATTGAGTTAAGGAGGGAGGGAAGAGCAGCCCCCTTCTTGCTCCATCAGTGTCATGGCCAATGGAAACCTTTCATTTCCCATCAAATGACATTTTTTGGAGCAACATGTCTTGGAGATCAGCATTTTGAGGGGCTTCTGGGTCCATGTGGTAGCCAAGGTGAAGTGAAAGCCCCCCCTGACCCACCCACAATATTAATTTCATCAATCAGACTCCCAAACTTGCTCCAGTGCAGTGATGGGGGGGGTCTGGCACAAGGGACAGCTCGTCAGAAATAGTCTATCACTGTCACTGTTGTGCCCTGAAAATAGTCCTTGAGCTAGGCTTGGCTTAACCCTTCCCACCCCTCCTGGTCAAAAATAGCCTCACAGAGCGTGTGTGACCTCTTTGGAGGGGCACTTATCATGTGCCTTGGCTGCTTGGGACCTTGGTGGAGTTGCAGTGTCATAAGGCTCAGCATGGGACCTGTCAGGGGAATTTCCCATGGGAATGGTTGCAAAAGGATCCAGACCTTGAGCTTACCTGGTGTTTTGTACAGTCTGTACACAGGGAGCTGTGTGCTGACCTGGAGGTCTGCTGACCTCCACCTGCATGGTCACCCATGAGGTCAAAACCTGTTCTCATATACAGGACATGATGCTTCCGGACTGTGGCCATCCATGCAGCCCAAGAGACAGGAAAATTTGGGCAGAAGGGAGCCTGAAAACAGAGATGGGCTGGTCAGGAAGTGTTTAAAGGGCATGAATTAGGTAGAGATGACCAAAGAAGAACTTCAGTAGGAATAGCAGGGACAAAATCTGATCAGATTTTGGGCTTGGTGAGTGTAGGAGCAGCACTGTTTGTCACAGGTTGAACTGGTATCTTCCTGCCTCATGTTTTTGCAGGTGACTGGCTGGAGTAGGTGACCTGTACCCTTAGGAGACACTGGAAGGTCTGCCCAGAGCCAGCAGAGACCATGATCCTGCCTGGAAAGTGCCGTCCCGGCATGGCATCAGCTGGCAGGGAGCATTCATGTCTTGTCTTCCCCTTTCTCTTCCAGGTCTCAAAACTGGAGGTGGCTCTTCAGGTGGCTCAGGGAACACTTTCCACTACACCTTCCATGGAGACCCTCACGCCACCTTTGCGTCCTTCTTCGGAGGCTCCAACCCTTTCGACATCTTCTTCGCCAGCAGCCGCTCCCGAATGTTCAATGGCTTTGACCAGGAAGACATGGACATCGATGAAGACGATGACCCTTTCAGTGCCTTCGGCCGGTTTGGCTTCAATGGCATCAACGGGGTTCACCGGCGGCACCAAGAGTCGCTGCACACACGGAGGAAGGTCCAAGACCCACCCGTCATCCATGAGCTCAAGGTGTCCCTGGAAGAGATCTACCATGGCTCCACCAAGAGGATGAAGATCACGCGCAGAAGGCTCAACGCTGACGGCCGGACCATGCGGACTGAGGACAAGATCCTAAACATTGTCATCAAACGGGGTTGGAAGGAGGGAACCAAAATCACATTCCCCAAAGAAGGGGACGCCACCCCAGACAACATCCCTGCCGACATCGTCTTCATCCTCAAGGACAAGCCTCACTCGCACTTCAAGAGGGACGGAACGAACGTGGTCTACACGGCAAACATCAGTCTTAAAGAGGTGGGTACGGGTGGGAAATCCCATGGGGTGGGGGTGGTGCTGGGTCATGGCACTCAGAGCCAAGACAGGAGTCGGTTCTTCTCCTGTGCCGATGGGGAAGGGCCAGGTAGGTCAGGAAAGACACAAGCAAAGACCTCTGGAGAGAGGAGCTGCAGGGGCCAACCGGTTCTTGGGTTTGGAGGCACTCAACCTCCATGCTAGGTGTAGGACACGGGTGCTGTGGTCGCTGCTGACCGCACCTTGAGCTTGTACAGGTGGTATTTGTTTGTTGTTTCCCTTCCCGATATGTCTTGTCTTTCTATTTTAGCGTAGGATGTTCGTTCGCATGTGGAAGAGAGCCCAGATGCTCTGTAGGAAAAAGGGAAAACCCAGGTTGGCATGAGCCTGGTCACTGCTTGTTCTTGCAGCTGAGCCTGCTTGTGGCTTAGCTACTGTCCGGGATAGCACTCTCTCCCCATGGGCAGACAGCAGGGTCATGTGGAGAACAGCTACATTGCCCTCCCTGAGCAATCCTTTAGCTGTTTGCCTTGGTTCTGGCTCCCCTACATGAAGAACCAAATGAACAAAGTACTTGTGCTGGCTTTTGCTCACTGCCTATGTCAGTCCTGCTGGTCACGGTGGGCCTGGGTCCATCAGAGCCAACAAACTGCTGGGAGGTGGGAGAGGAAGGGCAGGTTAACCCAGCACAAGATGTGCCATTCACCACTGCAGCTTTATAACTACCTTTCAATAAATCCCAGCTGGCAGCTGCACTTAACACTGACGTTTTGTGCAGCTGCCATTTGCTGTTCCTTTCAGACTGTAGACGCTGTCTGTCTTCTTAATGAGCTGATTTCTTTTCTTCCTGGAGACAGATTTATGTTCTCAAATGCATTTCACAGAAATGAGCTCAATGGGCCAAACCTGAGGTAGGGAAACGTGAGCTTGTGAAACATTGCCAGTGAGTCAGAGGAGCTTTGCCGTGGCTCTGCATCCCTGCTGGGGCTGTGACCTGGTACACTGTGGGAAAGGAGCAGCCACACAGGTCAAGCAGAGCTCGGTGCTCCTGGAGAAAACTCAAGATGAAGTCTAATCTGAACTCAGGAGCTGAATTTCCTCTGCAGTGCGAAGTGCAGAGGTTTATTCCTGTGGTGGCTGGCTTCCCTGTCTGCTCCAGAAATACTTGGGAGAGACTGCCTTATTTATGGAGCCGGCATGCCATGTCTCACATGCTTCCTTCTGTGCATTCCCCTATCTGTAGAATTAACCCCAAGCTGGCTGTGCTGATGTTAGTCCAGGTTCACACACTTCTGAGGCTGGAGGGACTTTTGCCTGGAGTTGTCCTTTGAGCAGCAAGTGGAGAAACCTGCTCTGGCTCCACGTGCTGCTGCACCAGGAATGATGGTGCTCATCCCTGTGAGCGAGGCGTGTTGTGCTGGCCTTTGGTTTGCACAATGCAGTCACAAAGTGGAAAATTGCTGGTCTGGGCAAATTCCTCACCTCTTCGAGCTGGAATTTCTGGTCTCTGCCCTCCCCCACCACAAACCCAACATCCCTGGGGAGCTGCCAGCCTGGCTGCTATCCCCATCCCATGTTTGCCAGCGTAGGGCGATAACTCTTCTGCTTTTATCTTCCATAAGGAGAAGAACCTTAAGTACTCTGGAGCACAAGCAGGTGCCAGGAGCTTCCCAACTCTCTATGCCACCACCTCAGAATGTGTTGAGTACAACCTCATCCAGCCTGTGGCTGAGCCTACAGCCTTGGCTACTCTCCTTGCATCCTTCCTCCTTGTAAGCCTGCCATCTGAGTCTCTTCCACTGCCACAAGAGCAGCACAGCACAGTGCCAGCCTGCAGACAGTGAGTTCTGTGACCCTACTCGTGGCCATCCTAGAGACCCTTCCCCAGCATCCTGCAGCCGTGGGAAGTAAACTACCTAGTGCTTAGGCACTCAGGAGAGCATCTTCCTCTTCCTCCTCCATACAACAGACCCCTCTGGAGAGCAACCCAGGGAGGCAATGCCATCCCAGCCCTCACGTCTGGCCCTATTGGACCGACACAGTGCAGTTTGGTTACCAGAGGTGTATGAGGGACTGCAGGGAAGTGTCTCTTCCTAAGATTCCAGGCTTTTATCACAGTGGGAAGCTGAGGGAGGGAGGAATCACACTGCTCCTGGCAGGCAGACCCCAGGGGCTTTGCTGCCTAACGCCTGCCCTCGCTCTGCATCTTTTACCTGGCGTCACCTTCCTCAAAGCATCCAGATGGCTGGGACACAACCGGTGCTGACGTCCCCCCCGGCAGCTCTGCTGGGAGTGGAGGAGGACCCAGCGCTGACCTAGATAAAGCTCTGCTCTCACAGCTACCAAACCCAGGGTGATTTCATCCCCAGGGAGAAACCCAGCCTCTTTCTAGGATGCAGGGCAGCTCCCGCGGTTACTTCAGCAACCATTTTCCCAAATGCCAGAGGAGTTGAGCAAGAAGGAACTAAAAACAGGGACATACGGTGGAGGAGTGATTGCCTCGGATTCTTGCATCTTGGCTCTAGGAAGGAAACATTAAGATCCTGTCTGCCTTCGCTGTTACCGCCCGCTCCTGCTCACATCCCTCTCATTGCCCCATCCACGTGCTCCACAGGGAGCGAGTTCCTGTTCTTCTTCCCACTTTGTGGCTAGATATGTCCTTTCCCTGGCAGACGCAGGCACATCCAACCCTCCACGGTGGGGGGTGGTGGGCACCAGGGAGCAGGAGGGCTCCAGCATCCCTGTGTGATGCATTTGATGGAGGAGATCATCCTTTCTTCCCTTCCTTTTACTTGCTGGAGATTAGCCAAGCTGCCACTGCTTGCATGGAGCTGGCAACAGGCATCCTCCCACAGCCAGAAAAGCTTATTCCTGCAGGACACACTTCCCAGGAGGAGACCAAATGCAGATGAGCTGTGCAAGGAGACAGCCCCATCTCTCCTGCTCTCTGCTCGCCATGCAGGCTCTGGCATGGGTCCCTCTGTGATCACTGCTACGGATCCCTGGCTCAGCTGCAGCACCCGCATCTGTCATCCCTGAGCCCATGGCCAGCACCCATGGCCAGCATGGGAAGAAATGTTTGTCCTGGTGCCTGTTGCTGCTTTGCCACTGGAGGCTTTTCCTGGCGAGGGGAATTCAGAGCATTCCTCCATCTGCCCCAGAAATAGTCATTGCATCCTCCTCTCCTTGCTTTGCAGGGTGTTTTGGGAGGGCTGGGCTCCCTAGGGCCAGCTCCCCACCTGGAGTCTGAAGGCTGTACCCCTGGTACCCTCCATACACACACATTTCCTATTCCAGAAGCATCTCTCCCTCAGCCCTTGCTGGGAGCCTGGAGACGATCCTGCCCACATGTGTGCCAGAGCTGTCTGTGTTATTTAAGGACATGAGGATTTTCTTG